TCCCGTGCTCACCTTGTTGGAATCAGCCAACTTCCGAGCAGCATAGTACTCTGCATCAGCTTTTGCCTTCTCCCTTGCCAGGAATGCAGCATCTGACAGAAAAAGAGGATTAGGAAGTGAACAGCCTCATCACACTGAGCTCCTGAGCCCTTGTTCCACAGGGACCAGCTGAGCCAGGAGTGCCCCTGGCCCTGTGCCTGCCCTTTGGCTTCCTGGAGAGCTCCATGGCAAGGGAGGAATGATGCCAGGGCTCAACCTGGCACTACTGATGACTTTTATAGGCTGCCCATGCCCGTGAGCTCAGTTCTGATGTTCCTCCAGCTGCCACCACCTCCATCTGGCAGGTGACCTCAGCAGTGTGATTACCTTCGATCTCGGAGATTCGCTTCTCAGTTTCCTTCTCCATGATCTTCTGTTGGTAGTGAATCCTGGCCACCTGTGCAGCCTTCTCTGCCTCTGCAATCACAACAGCTTCAGCTCAGACATTCACTTTCCAGGGCTGGAGCACCAGCACCCTGACCCTCCTCAGTGCCAGTAGGACATGGAGCTCCTGGAGCAGGTCCACAGTGCTCTGTCCAGTTCTGGGCTCTTCAGGACAAGAGGGACATGGAGCTTCTGGAGCACGTCCAGGGAAGGGCAAGGAAAATGCTGAAGGGACTGGAGCACCTCACTGATGAGGAAAGGCTGAGGGAGTTGGGCCTGTTCAGCCTCAAGAAGAGATGACTGAGAGGGACTAAGGTGACATACCAATGAGAGCTTTCTTCCTGTCTGTCTCTGCCTCCTTCTCCACCACCTTCTGCCTCTGGGCTGCAATCAGCAGCTTGGTCTTCTCAGCCTCCCTGAAAGGTGAGAAATGTTATCCTGGGGAAAGGGAGATGGGGAACAGTTCCTCATCCTGGGGCAGGAGAGGCCACAGGGACAAGAAACCAGCCAGCTGTCAGCAGCCTGCTCACTGCCATGGGGACTGGCTCTGTCTGCAGTGGTGTGAGCACAAAGGAAGGGATCATCCCCCTCTCCCTCTGGCACTGCTGGGGCCACATCTAGATGCTATGGACTGCCTGAAGCCTTCAGGATGGGGACTGAGCCCACTGCAGGGCTACTGCAGATGTGGGGTGGGAGCTGAGCTGGCTCAGCCAAAGATAAAGTGACAGGAGGTCCAACAGAGGATCTTATGGGCAAGAATTCAAGATCCCCAAGCCCTAATTTCAGTTTGGAGATGGAGAAACAGAAAGCACAAGTGCACCTGGCCGAGCACACACTGAGCAGAGCTCATCCCTCACTCTCTGAGCACCAGGGATGAGGTTGCTAACAGCTTTATGCCTGCGCTGGCTCCTCAAAATGGATCCACACTGTTTTATGTCCAGTTACTCACATGAGCTCGAAGTTTCTTCGGATTGCCTCTGGAATTTTGGGCTTTGTCACACGCACAGCCTGTGGAAAAGGAAAAGGGAGTGTATTTAAGTGCACTTAGATGAAGCAGTTTGATGCAAGCTGCACAACTAAGCAATGTCCTTGCAAACCAGCTGCAGTGCTGTGGACATCTCCACACTGATCTAAGCCCACACAGGATGGTGCCAAATCCTCCTGTGCAGCACAGCTGAGTGTGGCCACTCTCACAGAGATGTCCTGCATTTGGCTTTCCTGTCTCTGCAGCTTTTATGGCACCCAAGGAATGGAGTAAGGGCTGTGGAACAGACTGCTGAGGATGCCCATTGGCTTTAGTAGAAGGCACCTTCCAAGACCATGCATTCCAACCCACTCCCACCATGGGCAGTTTGCTCCAAGCCTCATCCAGCCTGGCCTATGGTCACCATGTGACCCTGCTCCAGAGCTTCCGTGGCCTTCCTTGTGCTGTGGCTGCACCTCAGAAGGTTTCTGTGTCCCCCTACAAAGCCATCATTAGGTCGAAGACTAGCTGAGTTTTGGTTTTCCTAACTCTGTCCCTGTGTTCCCAGTTTGACCAGCTTCATTCCTCCCAGCTCATCTATCCCTACTCTCCCTTTTTTTGAGTTGCCTTTTTGCCCTGCAGACCAGTCAGGAGCTCCTTGTTCATCCACACCAGACTCTATCCCTTGCTCTGTGCAATTTAAAGCCAACCCCTGCAGGTCTGTCACCTTAAAGGTTCTTCTCTCTACTCTGCAGGTCTGCCCCTGACATAAAACATAGTGTTTAGAAGTGGTTACAGTCACCTGGACAGTCTTAAGCTGTCAAACCTCAACTCAAGGCTCAGCTATTCCATGTTGAGTGGAAAATGGAAGGAAAAAAACCTATGTAACCTAGTCAAAGATGAGCAAATTAAACGTGGGACAAAGGGAATGAACCTACCTGGATAGTGAGACCTGGTGCCATGACATTGAGATCCTTCTGCAGGGCCAACTTCAAGTTCTCATCTATCTGATCTGTTTGGAGGACAAGAGAGACACCATTTAGCTTATCCTCTTTTCTCCTACAGCTTGTGTGGCAGTCACAAAAGCAGGTAACTATGGTGTAAGATAAAGCTGCTTTCTGAGACCATTCAGTACATTGTTTCCCTTCCTATGCTCCCTGGAAGATGTACCCCAAAGGAAAGTCACATGCTAGTGCCTAGCAAAATTCAGCTACTGATGAATTTGTGGTATCTGAGCTCAGGGCTTGCAGCATCTCAGCAAGAAAGAATGCCCAGAGGCTGTGGTGGAAGTCTATCCCTTCTACAGCATTCAGAGTATCTGAATGTTAAAAGTCTGACAAGCTTTTCTCTTCTATAACCTCATTTTCTGCTGCTCAGTCACTCAGGAAAGAATACAATGCTGTTATCTCTTTGGGGCACAGGTAGTACGACCTGTGCTAATTCCTGAAGCACTGCTACCTCCCTGTGGAAAACCTTCTGCCAGAAGGAAGTTGTGAAAGTACAAAAGTGGAATCAGCAGCAGAACAGGGGCCTAAAAGTAGAACTAGACAAGAGAAACTCATCAGCATAGTGAAGGAAACAGGTATCAAAGCATGCCCAGGAGCAGAGTGGCTGCTTTGTGCAGACAGAATAGGTAGAAAAGGACTGAAATCAAACTCCCACATGGGGAAAGACACATGAAACTGAATCATTAAGTTACAGGAGAGGTGGCATACGGATCTAAAAGGAGCTGTGGATTCTAGGCTGCAACTCCAGCACAGCAGCTGTTTGCTCTCAGGGGTTGGATGTAACACCAGGGCAGCCCAGGGAGTTCCAGAGCCCCCGGAGGAAGCATCCAGCTGCCACCACTTACCAAACAGCTCGATGTACACCTCCTGCAGGGTATGGGCACTGCAGAACTGATTGAGCTCATGGTGAATTTTGTTGAAGATCAAGGTCTTGTCGTAGTCTGCAGTGTAGTTCCTCACGATGTTGTACACTGTGGGACGGAGAAAACCATCAGAGGTCAGCACTGACATGGAGAGTTTCCTGCAGCACCACCTCACCAACAGCCAGGGGCGTGGAGAAGGCGCATTGGGACAGATTGGGGGATCTCCAGCCCTGGGAGTTTGCAGGATGTAGCCCATGTGGCTGTGAAAGTGAGCTCAGAGGAGGCATCTCCATCCCTGGGAGTGCTCAAGGTCATGCTGGATGGGGTTCTGAGGAACATGGGCTAGTGGAAGGGCTAGTGGAAGGTGTCCCTGCCCATAGTAGGGGGTTAGAACAAGATGATCTTTAGGGTCCTTCCCAACCCAAACCCTTCCACAATTCTATGAATTACCACAGCAATTCACCCTTCAATGCATCAGCAATGCTAGTGGTTTGCATTAAGCTGTGCTGCTGACAAACCCAAGCTATCTGGGTCTTTGGCCTGGTAGCTGGTAAGATAAGACAGGAAGAGGCTCCTAGATGGGTTTTGTCTTAGTAATTTTCCTGGGAGCCAGGCTGGCAAGTTACTGGGATCAGTTTTATAGGTGGTTTCCCCTCCAGCAGCAAGAGAAGAGATGGTTTGGTCTCTCTTACAGCAGCAAGAGAAGAGATTGCTTGGTGTCCCTTTCAGCAGCAAGAAAAGGGATTGCTTGAGCAGCCACCATGTTTCTAAAAACACACAAGGGAGAAGCAACCCCAGAATTTCCCCTGATCTTTGCCAACCTGTGGCTCTGCACAAACCCTGCAGGCACACGCACGATACTTAGTGCTCCAGGCCTGGGAGCTGTAAGGGTGACATGAAATAGAAACAGACACGGAGATTTTCCAGACATGGAAAATACAAGTCCTGCAAACCACCACATAGCTGCTGCAGGAGGAGGGAAGACAGTGACAGGGCTCCTTGTGAATCAGGATGGGAAGTACCTGCATATGGGGCCAGTTTGTTCACAACCTCTATCCGATCAATGTAGATCATGACACCACCACTGCAAGGGGAAAAGAGAGTTAATTCAGCAATTACTACTGCAGCTGTTGACATCATTAAAGGAAAAGTATCTTTATCATGCTAATCCATGTCACAACAATCCACAAAAGGGATTGCAAGGAGGACCTGGGAAACTA